AATGGATTGAAGTTCATTGGAGGAAAATTGCACAATCTGAAAAATTTTCAAAATTTTCCTTGCATTGCAATGAAGTGTAGAGTTTGACAATTATCCATCCATGCATTGGATTGTATTAATATGCAAAGTTTCATTATTTTACATGCATGCAAGGTGAAAATAATCCATCCATGCATTGATTTGGAAGCATGTTGCAAGGTTTTATCAATTCTTCAGCTCTCAGTTGATCATGTATACATTCACAATGCATAAGAATGAGGCACCTAATGGAATGACATGCAAAGTTCATCTCTCAACCTCACTGCATAATGTTACAATGCATGCAAAAATTCATCTCTCAACCTCAATGCTACTGCCTTCATTTCGAGCACTCTATTTCCTCTTTGGAGTGCTCGAAAGCTCTATGAAGCTTGCACAAAACCATTCCGAGGCTACTGCTTGTATTTCGAGCGCTCTAAGTCCATTTTCAAGTGCTTGAAATGTGAACCAATCTCATCCCAAGCTCACTGCCCTCCCTTCGAGCTCTCTAGCTTTCATTTCGAGTGCTCGCTAATCCCACACAACCATGCAACCATTCTCCTCTCTGCCTGTATTTCGAGCACTCGAAGCAGGCATTTCGAGTGCTCGAACCCCCTCTCAACCTCACCCAAGCTCTCTCACTCAACAGCCGAGCCCTCTGCCAAAATTTCGAGCACCCCAAGCTCTTATTTGGAGTGCTCGAGATTGCTCAACCTCACCCCTAAACTCCCTCTCTCTCGGCACCATACCACACCACCCCTCTCGGCAAATCATCAACCCAACCTCACTTCTATCCATGCACCAACCCACAAACAAACCCCTCGGCATCACTTTCCACCTCCAAACCACCATGCCGAGTGCTCGCACCAACTTCCCTCTCCACCATGCAATCCTTAGGCAACCCAAGCAACCCACACCTCATTTCCCTCAACTTCCACCACCTCAACCCACAAACTAACCTCTCGGCAACCCCTCATCATCCTCAACCATGCATGTCTTCCACGGCCACCCTCCCAACACAATCCCAACCATTCACATCAACACCATGCACACACCAACCAAACCGACCACCACCCCAACCTTCACCCTTCTCTCATTCACCAACCAACCCTCACACCAGCCTTCTCTCTCCCGGCACCTTCACTCCCTAACCACCCACCACCCTTCACACTCAATCAACCCCATCCTCAATTCCTCCACAACACCCTCATGCATGCCATTCAAAAAAAAAAAAAAAAAAATTTGGCACACTTTTGGCATTCTTTTGCTATCCATTTTACACTTGTGGCTAATGTCTGCGTTTGTGTTTTGTTTGGATTTTTATCTTGCACTACAATTCAGGTTAGTGTTTTTAATTTTGTTTTAATTTTTCTTAAGAGCCTATGCTTTTACATGTGTATATTAGTTGTGTTTTGCTAGGTCTTCATGTCCAAGTTTGGGGGACGCAGTTGCGCACTCACATAGCTGAACATCTTCGTCTGTGTCACTCTACTTGGTATTATTGTTCCTTTCCCCCCTTTTTGCTCTTATTTTGATTTACTTGTCTTCTCACATTGAGGACAATGTGACATTTAAGTTTGGGGGTGCATTTATGCATTTTTGGTTTTGCATTTTTGCTAAGCAATGATAGTATAACTTGACACTAGTTGGAGATGAAGCATATGTTTAATACCTTGTGTATAGAAGCAATTGACATTTTTGAAAATAAAGAAAAATTTAAGTTGAAATGATCATGTGGATTCAAATTAGTCTGTATAAATGTCTCAATTAGATTCTTGCTGGATTTGACACTCTTTTAAGCTTCACAATGCACATATGCACATTGGAAACTAAACTGTGAGGCATGCCACTTGATCGACCTTGACCTTGGCCTAGTTAATTTGATTTGATGAACCTGATAGATGAATATCTTTGGCATGATTTAAGTTGTCTAAAAAAAAAAAAAAAAAACTGAGAAAGAAAGAAAAAAAATGACCAGTTGACGTTCGTAGCCTTTCCAACTCGAGCTATTAAGCCCTAGGAGTGTCTCTACACTTAGCACCCTAAAGCCGTCTGGTTTGGGAGTTGTTGGCCTAACGCTTGCTACAAGGGTTGGTTAGAAAGCTTAAGGGACTTAAACATTGCACGGTCATTCAAAAAAATAAACTAGTAATAAACATGGTTCGTTGGAGTTCGTAGCCTTTCCAACTTGAGCTATTAAGCCCTATGGAGTGTCTCTACACTTAACACCCTAAAGCCATCTGGTTTGGGAGTTGTTGGCCTAACGCTTGCTACATAGGTTGGTTAGAAAGCTTAAGGGACTTCAGCATTGTACAACCATTCTATGTTTCGCTTATGAGTTACAATAAATTGTCAACAAGCAACAAAAGTTGTCTTGTAAATAAAATCATGCCTTAGGGACCTCATTTAAAGGGGAATTTAATGATTTGAAAACTTGTGCTTTGGAATTGGAAAAGAAAGTAAAAGCCGCATGTTGAGAATCTAATTCACTTTCACTGAAGCTAGAGTTGATTTCCATTCAAGAGATGATAATTGAGTTATTTATATAGACTTTGATGTTGATGCATGTATGTGGAAATGTATTTAGCCAATTTTTGTATCAATGCTTCATATATGCAAGGTAGTTTTCCCAATGACCCCATCTCCAGTTTTTGTCTGTTTCAAGTTGTATTTGAGCTATGTATCTATCTCATTTTACCATGGATGATATTTTTGTAGTAGCATGCCCATGGTTGTCTTTTCATTATGTTTTTCATTGTAGTTTTGCTAAGGGACTAGCAAAATGTAAGTTTGGGGGTGTGATAAGCGCCGAATATTGTATATTCAAGCGCCCTAAATTGCATTAGTTAAGTCCATCGTTTGATTATTTAAGTAGATTATCTTCATTTGTGTGTATGTATATATTTTCAGGTCCATTTGCCAAAAAAGGAGCAAAATCATGGCTTTGTGGAGTTTTGGCCATCAAAAGGCACAATTCTGAATTTCTGGCAGCAGTGGAGTCAAGACTTTGCTCACCATTTTGACCTTGCAAACTCGAGAACTGGACTTCCATTATAAAATGGCATATTTAGAGCTCTGAATCAGCTTTCCAAATCTTCAAGCAGTTCGTCATTCGGAGCTCGGACCAGAGAGTTATGGCCTTGTTACCAGAGGTGCGCAGAACTGCCTGGCAGCAATGAAATTCTGCCTTGATCTTCATTTTCGACCAATCATCCTTGAGAATTGGATCTCCACCAAAACATGAAGTTTTTAGAGCTCTGAATTAGATTTCCAAATCTTCAAACGGTTCATCATTTGGAGTTTAGAGCACAAAGTTATGGCCGTTTTACCCAAGTAGGTCCGGGATGAGCAAACCAAGCATAGGGCATTCTGGCCAATTTTTGAGTGCTCGAGGCCTAATTTCGAGTGCTCGAAATTAGGGCAGATTGCTTCACGAGATCAGCAGTGGAGTTAGGACTTTGCTCGCCATTTTGACCCAGAAAGCTCGAGAACTGGACTTCCATCATAACATGAAAGATTTAGAGCTCTGAATTAGCTTTCTAAATCTTCAAACGGTTCATCATTCGGAGCTCGGAGCAGAGAGTTATGGCCTTGTTACCAGAGTTGCGCAGAACTGCCTGGCAGCACTGAAGTACTGCCTTTCTCCCCATTTTCGACCAACCAGACTTGAGATTTGGGTCTTCATCAAAACATGAAGTTTTTAAAGCTCTGAATCAGCTCTCCAAATCTTTAAACGGTTCATCATTCGGAGTTCGTAGCGCAAAGTTATGGCTGTTTAACCAAAGTAGGTCTGGGCGGAGCAAGTGAAGCATGGGCATTTTTACACTAAATTCGAGCGCTCGAGGCCTTGCTTAGAGTGCTCGAATTTGGGGCAGAATTGCCTTCGGGAATTCTCATTTTGGCAGCCACTTGTGCATTGGTTTCCTCATTTTCTACTTACTTCTTTATGAGGTGGTTGGGGATGTTTTTTGGAGGAGAGAGAGAGCTTTGTTGAAGGAGATAAGGCAAGGAAGGCCACACATATCATTATCCTATATTCTAGCAAGATAGAGGAGAGAGAAGAGAGCAAGGAGATAGAGTTCTCCAAGCTTGAAGAAGGGAGCACGAAAATGGAGGAGGTCTTCAAGCTTCTTCTTCATTCTAAGGCTCCAATGGGTAACTAACTCTTCTTCTAGGGAGGTGATGAAGTCCCTCCCTTGTAAGCATGTTCTAGTGTAGATTTTATTTTGGGATTTCAATGTATAACCTATGGTCTTTTCATGGTCTAGAGCATTTTGCTTCTTGTAATGGATCTTCATGTATTTTAATGATTATTGTTGAATTAATTATCTATCTTAGATGGTTTATTCTTTTAATCATAGTGCTTGCACTCTCATGGTGACAATGGTAGTGAGATCATGGAATAGTTTTAATGGCATGAAGTTAGAGAAATTTGATAGTCCATTGCTTAGGTTCCCCCTTTGATGGTCTATTCTTGATTCCTACTTTATGTGCTTTTATCATTCAATTAAGGGCTTGATAATCTTTGGCTTAGGGAGCATGTTGAAGACTACACCCTAGTTTAGGTAGTTTAAGCATGTATTTCTTTGATGGATTATTCTTGTTTTTGATTCAATGACCCTCTTGAGGATATTATAGCAACCAAGGGTTGTTATGTATCATGACCATCGTTTATGTTGATTTCCCGAATTTAAATTTAGCCTAGCATGTGTATAGGGATGGAGACGGATTCACTTCCTTAGTTTCTCTTACTCGTATCTTAGCTCGCTTCAATTATTGTAAGTTTCTATTTCATGCACTTCACATATTCAATTTAGTGACAAACAAACAACTCCTTATTTCCCCTTCATCATTCTAAGAACGATTCTAGACATTTAGGTTGCCTTAGACTAGCGCAGTCCCAGTGGTTCGACTTACCCGACCAATAGCCCTATTTTACAATGATTCGTGCTATTGCGAAGGTTGATGTTTAATTGACCAACCGATCACTAAGCTTCCTGATGATACCGTTATTTCGATGGGAAAAACCGCCTCTGTTCCATAAACTACAGAAAAAGGCGTGGCATTAGTGGCCCCCTTTATGGTAGTGCGGTTGCCCCAAAGCGCAAGGGGCAGTTGCTCTGCCCATTTGTCGTGCTGCTCTTTCAGAGTCCTGCTCAAGATTCTAAGCAGGGTCTTGTTGGTGGCCTCCGCTTGGCCGCTGCCCTTGGGGTAATAGGGTATTGACGTGTGATGGGTCACATGATATCCTTGGAGAAGGGCTCGAACCTTGCTGTTGATAAAAGGGGTTCCGTTGTCTAATAATATAACCCGAGGTACGCCAAAGCAACATATGATGTTTTCCTTAATGAAATTAGCCACGAGCTGTCCTGTTGTGGTTGAGAGGGCCACTGCTTCTACCCACTTGATACAGACCTCTGTCGCTATTAATATCCACTTCTTCTGTCGTGACTTTGGGGAGATTGGGCCTATTAGATCCATGGCCCAGGTGCAACTCTACTGCTGGTGCATGAATAGCATGATTATGGATTTGACATTCCCGACATTTTTGCGCATGCCTCTTGCTATCTTCTCGCATGGTGGGCCAATAGTAGCCTAATTGTATGATCCGGTTGTACAACTTCTTCCACCCCTGGTGCTCATCCTCATACGCTTACTTAAGCACTTCCTACGCTTCGGTGCTATTTACACAACATTTGACCCTCCTAACAAAGCCTTATCTTATTAGTTCCCTATTGCTGATAAAGAAACGGCCTGCGTCCTTTTTCAATGCGGCGGCTTCTTCGCGATCCTATGGGAGTTGGTGTCGCTTGAGGTAATCCAGATATTTTTGCCTCCAGTCCTCATTGACACATGCCACACTTTACATCATTTTGATGATTTCCCTACATCTTAGGCATTCTTTTTGAATGGCACTCGTCTCTCTTGCCATGGTCGGCCAGAAAAATCCTTGTTGTTATACCCTCCGATATAGACTCAGCGAGTCATTGCCACGTATTTGCTCATGAATTTCATGCAACACACGATTAGCCTCTTTAGCCTCCATACACCTGGCCAGGAAGCCACCCGGTGCTCTATAATACAATGTTCTGAAATACAGGGTGAAGTCCTTTAAATTAGTTAGAGGGATTTTGCCTTCGCCGCTCTTTAACTATGATTCATAGGCGGTTTTCCAGTCCTCTCCATCTTCTTTATCAATAAACTCTTCGTTATGCAAGCAAGATGTGTCATTCTTCTGAATTCTTATATCTACTAACTCCCCTGTGATTTTGACTTTGGACGCCAAAGTGGCCAGGGCATCCGGGTACCGATTGGCTATGCGAGGTGCGTGGGTTATATGTAGCTTATCAAAGTGGCTGCTGAGTTTCTATATGATGGCCTTGTAGGCCGCCAATGACAGCTCCTTGATGGCATATGAACCGTCCAGCTGCTTTACCACCGGATTAGAATCCCCCTGTACATATAGACGTCTGACCCTTGTTTCTCGGGCCGCCAATAACCCCAATATAAAGCTTCGTATTCTGCTATATTGTTGGAGCACCTAAAGGTTAACTTATATGAGAAGTTCTGAGCTTTTCCTGTTTCGGGTGTCAGTACTACCCCAGCGCCGCCTCCTCGTGCTGTCGACGAGCCATCGAAGGATAGTGTCCAAATGGTATCCTTGGCCGCACAGCAGACCAATTTGAGGTCTTTATGGGGGAGGTTGGTGTTCGCGGGCTCATACTCTCTTGACGGGAACTGGGCCATCAGATCCGCCATAACCTAGCTTAATATGGTACGGGGCGAAGAACACTGTATATCGAACTCGGCAAGAGTCAAGAACCACCATACCACTCGTCTCGAAATAACAGGCCGTGAGAGTAGGTACTTTAGTGGGTCACATCTGGTGATAAGATGAATGGTGTGCACGAGAAATTAGTGACGAAATTTCTTTGCCGCAAAGGCCAGAGACAAACAATGACGTTCGATTGGCGAGTAACGCGCCTCCGCGCCTTGAACAACTTAACTAATATAGTAAATGGGGCATTCACAACCTTCCTTCTCCTAAGCAGGCAACGCCCCAATGGAACGCTAGGTGGAAGTAATGTATAGCCTAAGTGGAGTACTTTGCCGGGGGGCTATCATGGTGACTGGCGAAGATAACAAGTTCTTGATTTTGGTAAAAGCCTGCTGATGCTCCCCATTCCATGTGAATTTAGCATTTCCTTTCGACAGAGATCCGAAGGCATGTGTTATTTCAGCTAAGGCTGGGATGAAACACCGAAGATAGGAAATTCGGCCTATGAGGCCTTTCAATTGCTTGAGAGAGCGAGGTGGGGGCATCTCTTTGATCGCCCGGACTGTGTGTCAAGATCAACGTTGATACCATGTCGGTGCACCATGAAAACCCAGAAAACGACCGGCCTCTACCCCAAAAGCGCACTTCAACGGATTTATCTTCAGTTTGTACTTGCAGCAACGTTCAAAAACTTTTCTTAGGTCCGAAAGATACTCTCTTTTAACTCGGGATTTCACTACTAAGTCGTCCACATAGTCCTCAACATTTTTATGCAACACTTCATGGAAGATGGCCGTCATGGCACGTTGGTAAGTGGCCTCGGCGTTTTTTAGACCGAATGGCATAACAGTATAGTGAAAGTTCCCCATGGGGGTTCGAAAGGCTGTTTTTTCTGCATCACAAGGCATCATTCTAATTTGATTGTACCCGCTGTGTCCATCCATGAATGAAAACATTTCATGTTCTGTGGTTGAGTAAACCAAGTTATCGATTATGGGCAACGGGAAATCATCCTTGGGGCATGCCTTGTCCAGATCCTTGAAATCGACACAGACCCTGATCTTTCCATTCTTTTTTTTTTCACCGGGACAACATTCGCTAGCTAAGTGGGATGTTGGATGAGCTTGATAAACCCGGCTTGCAGGAGCCGCTGAACCTCTTCCTTGATTTGTAGTTTGAGCTCTGGACGGAAATTTATCTGTGTTTACTTGACTGGTCTTGCTTTTGGCCGTATATTGAGATGGTGCGCTACAATCTCAGGGTCTAGTCCAGGCATTTCATCATACGTCCTTGCGAACACATCGCTGAACTCCTTGAGTACTTCTATCAATGCCGCTTTCTCCCCTTCTGGCAACCTTTTACTCACATAAGTTATTCGGGGTCGATTATTAGTGGTCAGGTCAACTTCCTCCAGCTCTTCTTAGTCAGGCCAGCTCATCCCGACTGGGCTTGGCTCGGCCTCTTCTTCAGGTTCCTTATCATGTACTTCACATACTTTTACACGAGGGCGCAGATCCGCCTGGGGTCGCACCCCCCAACATCGTCATAAGTGGTAAACAATTTTTCCGTCAGACAAATGCACCCTTTTACATACAACTGGCCTTTTTTGGTCGGTCTTTACCCTTATCTCCATCTTTTGTGCTAAAAAGCCCTCTGGTGGCCATCGATCGAGTTCATCCCATTTTGGTAAGGGGATCGCCATCAACGGGTGAGGTTCATTTGAATCCTCAAATTCTTCGAAGAACCCAGCCTCCACCATATGAGATTTTCTTTTGGCAAACGGGCGTTCAGAGCAGCAGACTGACGAGCCCCTTTCCAAGTGTTTAGAAAACGGACTTTTTAATGCGAGATGTCACTTTGCAAGGTCAAAATATAATTGTGGTTTATGAAGCCTTTAAAAGTCAAATTTACATTTATAAAAACCACTACTACAACTAATGAAGTATAGTGAGTAGGGATCGTCCACAGAGATTATACGTATTGGAATTTAACTTCGACTCTAATGTATCACAAGATTGCAAAAGAGGGTTGGGCTGGTTGATTACTCTAGAAAACAATTAAATTAAAATGCAATTAAAATAAACTAAGTTGAGATAGGGATTTAAGAGATGAGAAATGAGGTCTTGGGGTGCATTGGAATCACTACCAAGCTCGTTCACCAAACCACACACTTTCAACTAATTTAGGGAAAACCTTTTTATGAACAAAATGCGACTATCAATTGCAATATTAAGCATGAACCATCAAATTCATGTATGAATTGTCTACCTAACTGACAAATAAACTAAGTGTAGCACAACCCATCAATTCTAAGCATGACCCATCAAACTAGTCACAATTGTAGCACACATCAATCTAGAGAATCATGAAATTTGCAATAATACGCCATAGAATATCAAATCAAGTATAGATTGTCTACCTACCTACAAGCATGAATTAAATTGTAGAACAACCCATCAAGTATAAGTATAATCCATCAAATTAATTAACAAACCCATATAATAAAAACCATGTCTAGCCATCACTAGATTCTCAATCAATCACACATAAATATGCAATTAATATGGAAAAATTAGTGTAGAGATCAATTCCCAAATAATCACACATAAGACAACATGTAATCATATAGAGAATCAATAAAAAGAATTAATCCATATGAATCATGTGAGACATAATTCCCAATTTAATTACACATAGACATGTAAATAAACTAGAGAATTAATAGGAAGAATTAAACATAGAAATCATAGAAATATACCAAGATTCATTAAATTCACAAGGCTAGAACATTAATCACAAGATATTATTCCCCAAAAAGTATGAAAAAGATAGAGGTTTAGATTACAAACTTTGGGCTCATCCAAGCCCAAAGGAGAAGTCTAGCCAATCATGAGGGAGGTGGATGTGATCTTGGAACCCTCAAGGGCAATCCCAAACATGGCTCCATCTTCTTCCTCTTCTTTTTTGTTGAATTCTAGAGAGAGAGAGTGCACAGATCTAGAGATGTGTTCTTGGTGCCTCCACTATTCTCTTTTCTTCTAACCCTAATCTCTAACTTTTCTAGAGAGGGAAAAATAAAATCACAATGGAATAAAATTCAAGACAAAAAGATATCTTACAAAATGGTTCAATTCCTCTTAAATACAAGGTCCTTTTCTTAATTACTAAGTCAGAAATATAGCCCCAAAAATATCTAATTTCGTACTATGTGGTAGGTGAAGTTCGGGCGCGCGGGAATAAGACAGCTCACTGTTAGCATATTTTCGATTGATCTAACTTTTGATCGATCTGGGTTCGATCGATCTCACTTTTCTGCGATAGGTCTCACTTGGCAATTTTTCAGCATCAGCTTCCTTTTGCTCCAAATTAGCCTCCTTTTACTCTAAATTCTCATAAAGACTTAGTTTGACTCCAAAAGACCTTAAGAAGCCATTTTTAGCCCGTTTTAACTTTATTGACCTAGAAAGGGAAATAATACAAAATTAGTCTAAAACGGGAAAATAAAATAGATAAAGGTCATAGAATACTCGAGCTTAAAGGGTTTTAATGCGCACTTTTCAGCGCTCATCACGGACTGTGACTTGTTTTCCATTCTAGAATCCTTTCATGCATTAATGATATGAGGAGGGTACAATCCCAAACTTATGCATCCAACTTCGTCCCATGATTAGATGGCAAGAAGTATCAGAGTCGATGACACGGAACTTGGTCGAGCCTCTGAACTTACCGATGATTAGCTCGGCGGTCACATGTCCTACCGTCCTTCGAATGTCTCCGCCGAATCCTGCAATCTCAGTTGGCTTTCGCATGAGCTTCCCGAGTGGCGGCCCGCTTCGTTAGAAGACTTCCAGAGGCATTATATTGAGGGAAGAACCATTATCTAGAAATGCTCGTTTGAGCTCTACCCCATTGAGCGAGGCCGTAACATATAGCGGTCGATTATGAGGAGTGGGCGCACACTTGTCCTCTTCGGTGAAAATTATGGCCATCCTAGATGACCTCTAAACCATTGGGGAGGATAAGATCGACGCTGCCTCCGTGAGTTCCTCTTTTTCAGCGAGCCAAAGGGTTTTGGCAATTTTTTTCTGGGCGAGAGGAGAGGAATCCATTTCTTTGAAAATATTTGTGACAGATGGTGCCTTTAATAGGTGAAATGCACCCAGATCTTCTTCTTCAACCAGTGCGACTTGAGGGATGTCACCCGAGGTAAGCTCCTCGAGGCCTACCCCCCCGGTCGTCATCATCACCACCCCTCGGTCGTGTATGGGGAAAGGCTCTTTTTTTACATCGCAAGGAGGGAGGATAAGTTCGCCACTAGTAATTCGCCTGTGAAAGGTGTTCCGCAAGGCCCAACAATCAAAGGTAGGGTGGCGAGTGTGGTAGTGATACAGACAAAATCAAAGGTGAGCCATATCTTCTGGAGTTGGCTCCTGTGCCACTTCAGGTAACCTGATGTCTCCATGCTGGATCCACTTTTTGAGAATGGCCTCGACCTCTTCCATTGTGCATGGAAATGGAGGTGGGATTTCGTCTGGATTTCTCCCTCGGGGTGTATGAGGCGGTCCCGTATGCTTCTTATTAGAGGGTGTATTAGTAGCTGAGACTAAAGGCCTCCTTTTACTTCGGTGATCATCTTGTATCGAAAAATGAGTGTTGACAGCGAGGTTGCCTGCTAAGTTGCGGGCTGCCTCGATAAGGTCTACAAAGGTAGGGAGTTTAAGATTGATAAGATGGATACGGTAGCCTCCCTGCATTCCTTTTATGCATATCTTAGCCAGGGCCTATTCTTCATGTGTCTCATAACACTCCATAGCTCGGTCATGGAATCTGTGAACATATGTTAACAAATCTTCTCCATGGCCTTGTACTTCTTTGGTCAATGACAACGTGGTTACTCTTTCCTCGGCCTGGAAAAATTTGGTACTGAATAACACTGCCAACTGGTTCCACATGTTGAGGGATCTCGGCTCCAGGTTCACATACCACTTGTAGGCTCTATCAGTCAAGGTCTTGGAGAATTCCCTTAGCCACAGAAAGTGATCATTTCCAAAGGTCCTAGTGCCTCTATGAACTGGATCACGTGCTCCCACGGGTTACCCTTCCTTCCATCAAATTTGTTGAATTTTGGCGTAACATACCCCTGAGGGTATGGGAAAAGTGCGACAGCTTGAGAGTAGGGTGGCTCGGGGGCCTCCTCTTGGGATAATATGGACCTCTCATTTCACAACAACGTTTGTAAGTCCACCAATGTCACGTACGGTGAATGCTGGTGCATACCCTGTAGGTGTTAAGTGTTGCCTAGGGCTCTGTCTTTATGAATAGTCATCCCGTAACCAGACTCAGGCTTGTTTAATCTGGCAGGCGCCATCAGGGGAGTGTTGAATAGAGCTCGTCGGACCCCAATGGGTGCGACCCCCGACTGTCTACGAGAACTAATGGACCGCCTTCCTTCCGAGGACAACAAATGCCCTCGGTGCAATGGATGATTTGGCGTCATCTAACTTTTGTCAAGTTCACAAATGAACTCGCCACGTTGATCTGCTGCTCGTTGGGGTATTCCATTGTTAGCAATGCCCCGAAGCAGGGCGATTACCTCGCCCTGCGTATCCTCCAACTTCTTTATCCGGTACGAGAGTGAGTTGTGGGCTTCAACCAGAGCCTCGAGAAAGAGGATCGTTCTTCCCGGGTAGCGTGCTCTCAAGACACTGCTAGCGGTCCTATCATACTCCTCTCCCAGGGAGACTCCCTCTTGAGGAGTAGGGCTGAAATCCTGCACACTTAACATCGTGAAATACTCCTCCCCAGTAAAGTCGCCAAAATATTAATAGTGGTCCTCTATAAAATGAGGAATATATTCCATGTAAGCCAGGAGTGCTAAGATCAGTATCCGAGTGGGGACCCAAGCAACACAAAGGATTCTTAGAACTTAAAGATTAAGAAAGGGAAGGCAGTATTTTAATTGTACCCAAGTAAGCTCGAGCTCCATGGTAATTAGTTGTTAGACCTCTTCCTTCCTGCCTTTAAGGTTGATTAACCCCTCCTATTTATAATGTCCCCGAACGGATAATACCCATCGGTCGTGGGCGTGAGTTCCCTTTTGTCCACAGGGTTGAAGACCCATTTTTCTGACACATGGGATATTATCCAGCAGGCAAAAGCACTTATTCCCTTTAGTTCGAAGGGGAAACGGCGCCCCTAATTAATATGAGTCATGTCAGTTGTCTTTCGCAATTAATGCATCCTATTTAGAGCTCGACTTTGGGTACAAAAATCATTTCCCCTTTGTGTTGGCCTCCTAAAGAAGAAGGCAAATCCTTGGGTCCCAGCCACCTGTCCACATTTTCTTAGACTCCCGTTCTTGGAGATGGGGAACGGGTCTCCTCAAGGTGCTGCCTTCTTGACCTCGTGAGATCCCGCTCTGGACTCGGCCCTCAAGATCTCTTTCCATTCAAGGTAGGAAGAGTTCGTGACAAACAAATTGTGTTTCTCAAGTTCCCCTCAGATTCAAGGCGGGGACTTTCTAGATGGAGAAATTCTCAGTTTCTAAGGTCTCCTCGAGCACTGGGGCTCGAGGTGATGGAAGTGGAATGCACCCAAGGTCCCACCTGCAGGAAGGGACCTCGGGTGGTAATAAAGAAAGGAGGAGGGACCCATCCAACTGGAGAGGGGTACGTCCTCAAGGAGGGTGAAGGGCAGCGACCCCTTCCTCGCTAGTAAATCTAGTTGTGGGACGAGTAGCTCGAGGTTACTCGTCCTTTTTTCAGTGACATGCTAGACAGGTTCTGGCCAGGGGTGTCCTTTTTTTAGAGTGGGCAGTGCCACGCAAGCAGGCAACGTGGCATATTCATCAACAACTACATTTCAAAAAAGGAAACTTCTATGCTATGATTACTCAAGCACTAGCAGATACCCGTGGTGCCACCGTCTTGGTTGTTCCATGAACAGCCATCCCACCAGCACGGTTCATACGGCCACCATTGCTCCCATGATAAACCCAGCCTCTCGATCAAACATTATAAATTGATTTCTATTACAAAAAATATTATCTCTGAGAACTGCAACAAGTTCAGCAGTTATCACTAGGAAAAATCAGCTCCCTACCCGGAAATTATTTTTTATTATTGTTACTATTTTGGGAGTATATAAAATGCCACCAGTTATAATTGATTTCTATTACAAAAAATATTATCTCTGAGAACTGCAACAAGTTCAGCAGTTATCACTAGGAAAAATCAGCTCCCTACCCGGAAATTATTTTTTATTATTGTTACTATTTTGGGACTATATAAAATGCCACCAGTTATAATTGATTTCTATTACAAAAAATATTATCTCTGAGAACTGCAACAAGTTCAGCAGTTATCACTAGGAAAAATCAGCTCCCTACCCGGAAATTATTTTTTATTATTGTTACTATTTTTGGAGTATATAAAATGCCACCAGTTAAGAACTTCATATGTGAATTCCACCACAACAGTTGATTTTATGGCACAAGGCGACGTGAGAATTTGAAGCATGGAAGAAAACATGGGAAGATGCCTCTCAATTAATAATTCCCTTTCCCAAGACTATACTACAGATTTTTATGCAACTTTAGTATAAAACAAGAACCTCCTCCCTGGTTCAACAAGTAGCAAATTAGAAAATGTATTCCCCTCGTCTTACTTTGTAAAGGACATCTGCAGCCCCGCATGTGCTTTGTTTTTTGCTATTCTATGCACCAATATATCCATTATTTTCCATTCATCATTTTAAGTGCAATATACTTAGACATACATTTTGGAGAATAGTTCCCTATTAATAAGTTCTAACATAAATCTAACTTGCCTCGAGAACTGGTAGACCTCTTTTCCTCAACATATGCTCGCCGTTCACCAATCATATATAATAGGTTAAGCCTGAAACATCAAAAGTGAAAATATAAATCATCCAGAAACAGGCAGAAATATAGCTCACAATAAAAACAAGTATATATTAAATTACTTTTAAAATAGAATTGCTGAACTTCAAAGGCTAATAAAAAGTAAGAACAAACAAAAAAATTCAATACAAACAATGAAACATTGCAGACTCCTTATGGTAGATTCCAAAAGCAACAGGAGACGAATCTGTCTCACCGCAACAATATAATTTGCTAACAACATAATCAGCTTTGAACCTCCTCCAAAGAGAGAGAATTAAAACTTCAGTGTTTTTAGATTGCTGGTGCGTCCAGAAGAAGAGATATATTCTTCAGTAAATCAAAAGAAGTGCAATCCAATTACAAAATAATGAACCAACTATAGAAGAAAATTTAGCCAGATTTGATGCATAGGGCCACAAGTTATGTTGGTGCATGTCAGTGATCACTGATCTAAGGTTTTAATTTTCATAGTGATAAATGCATTAACCTGCTCGCCGGATGCTTTCATGCATCTCAGAGTAGTGAGTGCATATGCAGCTTATTTGCTACAGATTCCAAATGTAATAACAAATGTGATAACTCCATCTCATTGTATCAACATAATGTACAATTATTATTAGTCTTCAAATGGATAAATTATCTTAACAGAATTTCAGGCAAGGAAAAGGAAATTCAAACCAAACCAATTAATGTTAGGATGACAAACAAAATCACCAACAATTAGAAATGGAAAACTTCAACCTTGAACCTCACCCAAAGAAAAAGTAGAAAAATGCATACTCCCTTTTTCTTTTCTATTGCAATTTTTGGATTATTATATGATGATTTTTAACTTTCCATATAGAAATAGAAAGAGAGAGACTATAAACGACATCTGTTATGTCAATGACACCAAAGGAACATTAAATGAATGGAATTTGGAATATGGATGGAATATATTGAAATAAAGCCACTTTAAGGTTCCCTATGAAATGAGGTGTGGAAGGGAGCCACTATGAAGAAGTTCTGAGGAAAACCATTGTATTATGATAATATAAATTAGGCCAGATTTTGGTCATAGAAGTAGTAATTGGGTCAAAATAAAGCTAGCACATGTCAGTAATCAGTTATCCAAAGCTTGTGCATCCACGGTCACATGCATGGAGAGAAATTCCTTCCATATGCATCGTTGAAGAGTGAGAGTAGGAGCAGTGTATTGCTTGGAAATGGAAATAAAGTTTTTGCTACTTGAAATAATTATAGTAGAGGTGAAGTAGATGTGCATAAGAAGAAGGATTATAAAACTAACAATTACTAATCCACAGATTATGTTACATAGGCTACAATTGGTATTGGTCCTGTTACATAGCCTACAATAGATATTGGTCCTTGGGTTTTCAGCTCAAATAGTTGAATATCCACATCTGGATTCCATAGGAGTCCCAGCTGAAGAAGACAGCATTTATGGAGGCAGTAATATGTTAATGACTGCTTGGAGGGGCGTTGGTAAGTGATAACGGGTCCATAGAGTAGATGGTATGGGTGGTCTCAGCAATGGTAAAGGCAGGGTAAAAGACAACAGCTGTACTTATGATAATGCTGGAGACTGTGAAAGAGACCAACTGTGAAGGGTAAATCAGATGCCATGGTGAAAGAGACCACATCGTGGAGCTCAATGTTAAACCACATCATGGAGCTCAATGGGAAAATAGAGGCAGCAGTAGCAACAACTTGATTTTGAAACTGTATTTTAGCCGAACCCAGGAGATAAGAGTCACCATTTGATGCAATGGTAAGTTGGTAACTGCTCAGGCGTATAAGCAAGAGGACGAGTTCAAGCTAAAGCAGCCACTTTATGCAAAAATAATGCCAAAGGTTAATCCTATCTCCAGTCTTCCTTTAGACAGCACATACACTGGCTAATGATGTAGTAGTGGGAATAGTAGTATTAATGATAATGATAATGACAACAATAATTATGTATAATAATAAATTCATAACCTAGGGGCATGGCAGTTATTTGTTGCAGTCAGTGGAGTGATGTTGAATTTTAAAAGATATAGCAGAAGTATCTGTACTGCAGAAAATGAGCATATTCGAATGGGTCCCCTAAACCCAACCCAGCCCCAAATGAGAACCACCCATCCAATGTTGCAAAACCATGACAAATTTCAGCCATTTCTCCCATTCCCATAAAAATCCACTCTAAAACCCATCACGCTACAACCAGTCTCTTTCTCAGATGAAATCACGAAGAACAAATTTCCTATACAAACAGGAACGAGTAGTCAGCCCATCAACCATTCTTCACTATAAAATATCTTCTTAATACACATCACGACCAAAGAGAATCTCAACACTTTTTTGACTTAATACGACAATTGAACTTCAAAATAACTATATGTGAAAAATTGACACATTCACCAGCCAGGCAAGTGGATCATAGCTCTCTAGGGCTCGGGGTCTATTAAGAAACAAGTTTGAAAATGGGCTCAAGCTCGGTTCACTATTTATCAAACCAAATCATTCGAGAATAGCTCAATTTGTTGCATCCGTAATCGCAACTCTTCAAAGTGTTTAGAAACCCAAACTAAATAGGAAAAATTCATCAAGCTTATACAACCACTTTACTAAGCACTACCCAACAATTTGCTAATTTAAGAATGCAGTATTTAAAATGTTTCATGAATTTATAACAAAAGTAATACTTCTTCCATTTGATTTCAAAATGACTGCCATATCTTTCTTACAATGGTCATTTATGCTTTTCCATGTGGAATTGCCACAATCATCCAAGCATCTTCTCACACTGCTTTTTTCATGATTAGCATCTTGGAATTTCTACAATGCACATACAAACATGCACATGGACTTGTTTGTGCCAAAAGAAACTAAGAACATTGACAAAAGAAACATGCACAGACAAGAATGTTGGTATGCATTAATAAAGGCCACCATACGGTCCATACTAGAAAGTAATTAACCAGATCATACAGGAGGAAAAAAAAAAAAATGAAGAATAAGAACTCTTGGAGAGCTTATATCAACCATATAAAGCAATTCTTCATAGTTTAATCATTTCTGTTGTATTCCCTCGGGAATGAATGAATCACGGATTTCATTTGACAAATATCTTCTCATTCATTTTAAAAAACCCAAAAAGACGAATCAATGATATAACAAACAGTAAAATGACGTATACCTCAATTGCTTTTTGCACTGCACTTGCCACCTCAAATTCCACAAAAACTAAATCCCTGGTTCTGCAACATAAAGCCCATAAATAACTCATAATGACGAACGGAGGTGAACCACAAAAAAGAATTAGTTGATACATACTCTGTTGCACCTAACTTGAATGCCATCACTTTTAATAGGTCCAAACCTTTTAAACTCGTCCTCGACTAGGGCATGTGTGGCATTCAATGGCAGACCCCTAATGTAGATTGAGGAAAGTGGAATTTCTTGCTCTGATACCAAGTGGAATTTCTTACATAAGCACATACATAAAATGTAAGATCAAGAATAAGCAGAAGATGAACAACACAAAGATTTACATAGTTCGGCACTAAGGACTACATTTCTGTTATTCAGATTGTATCTTGTAAAGTCATCTTTTGTGTGAGTACAAAGAGCCTATTTATAGATATGACAATAAGAAGCAAGTTAGGCAGCCTAACAATGTCCAATAGGCAATGTTAGGCAGCCTAACATTTGGCAGCCTTACTTCCAACAGTAATTTTGTACTATTTAAGTAGAAGTCTCCAAACTACCATATTTACCTTATTTAATCTCCAAAGGCTCATCATTCATTAAATTACATACAATATTATGCTACATAGTACATCATTCATCAGTAAAATCACATGCTTCTTTTCTGCTACATAGTACATTATTAACTCCACATATCATGTTTAGTGTTTTATCGAATAAATTTTAAATTAAATAGAAGGAAGAAGAAGAAGAAGGATTACATTTATTGTATTTATATCTAAATACAAGAGACTAGACAAAAGTAAAAAATGATAGAGAGGTGATAATAGACTAATGAAGTCGAATCCCTATCAGAGAATTATGGAGGCTAAGACTCTAAACTGCCAAAAGTTTACCAGTTGCAAATATTGAAGAAGGATGATTACATTTATTGTATCTAAAACTAAATATTTCCAAGAGACTATACAGAAGTAAATAATGATGGAGAGGTGATAATAGACTAATGGAGTCGAAGCCTTATCAGAGAATTATGGAGTCTTCAGACTCTAAACTGCCAAAAGTTTACAGTTGAATTGTCCACTACTCTACTACTGCTTGTTAGTATCACCATATCAGTCACGTGTCCTATGGTAAGTATAATAATAATTTGTCTAAGATATCTTTGAAGAGTATACAAGCCTCACTATAATCCAATAGTTCTCTAACAGATTTTACCCCCATCATCTCAATTCTCAAACAATGAACAAAACGGAGGTCATCATTAATTCCATTAAACCAACTCCAAGGTCTACAGTGAATATAAAAAGCCTTTTACTTGATTTATTCACAAGAAAATATAAGGGATATTAAGTTATTTTATATTTCATTCTCACCTTCCTAACAAATCAAGCATACAAGTCTTAATTTCCTATCAAGTTAAAATGAAAAAGAAGAAGCAGAGATAGTGTTAGATACAAGAAGCTTATCACGGTGAAAATCACAAAGAAAGGCAATTGTAACTTGGTGCTACCGTGGTACCTTTGTCCTTGGACCTCGCTTGCTGGTCTTTTCCCCTAAAAGAGTCTTCAAGAATCAATATGCAGTGAAAATTCAAGGAACAAAAATAGAAAATAAGTTCGAAAAGGAAACAATCGTTACTGTTAGAGTCAAAAGCCAAAATCCACACTGGACCAAGAAATGAAAACTTATAGGATCGTTGAGAAATGGAAATGATTCAAGCAAGTGAGAAACTATGCCTTTTATGTTTTTTTTTTTCTTCCCGTAAATCCTTTTTATGTTCTGCACATGTTGAACTTCCTATTACTTTTCCTCTTTTTTGCAGCACCATAAACAAATTAATTTTAATTTGTTCCTATAAGAAGTATATTAGAAAAAGACTAAGAAGGCCTCCAATTGCCATTATTTTGAAACACTAGAAAATGGATACATACACTACTCATCTCATACTGCAGATAAATTGATTATATAGCTTCCAAAATTTCAGATCACAAAAAGACATGCCCTTGTTAGCTTACACAAAATATCTACTTGATTCAGCTTTCCCATGAAAGAAATGAAAGCATACTACGTTATAGTAAAACTCTTAAAGGGGAAAGATCGAGATGGTGGTTTTTGTTGTTCCCGCGAAGCGAAGATCATTAGCTTGGCTAATGAAGTGTGTCAACCTCTTTTTGGCTTCAACCAAACACTTTTGATAGCTGGTCGACCCACCACCCCACCCCCCCCCCCTCTCCCCCCCCCCCCCCCCCCCCCAAACACTTTTGATAGCTGGTCGACCCACCACCCCACCCCCCCCCCCCCTCTCCCCCCCCCCCCCCCCCCCCTTCCCCAGGTACATCCTGCGCCTATGGGCCGCTATTGTTGTTCCCGCGAAGCGAAGATCATTAGCTTGGCTAATGAAGTGTGTCAACCTCTTTTTGGCTTCAACCAAACACTTTTGATAGCTGGTCGACCCACCACCCCACCCCCCCCCCCTCTCCCCCCCCCCCCCCCCCCCAAACACTTTTGATAGCTGGTCGACCCACCACCCCACCCCCCCCCCCTCTCCCCCCCCCCCCCCCCCCCCCAAACACTTTTGATAGCTGGTCGACCCACCACCCCACCCCCCCCCCCCTCTCCCCCCCCCCCCCCCCCCTTCCCCAGGTACATCCTGCGCCTATGGGCCGCTATAACTATCCAAGAAGGCACTCGAAACTGGAAGGATAAACAAAACCCACCCGGTGGACTGCCGAGCTACAAGTCCTACGACACAGGAGCGGGATTCTCTAAAAAGCCAAGCTCGTGGGTGGCCAAGAGGACCCACTTGGAGACTTGGGATCTCAGTAGGAAATGCGAAGGTTGCTTAAAGCAGGCCGATAGGCGAAAGAGAAGAAACTAGTTGAGTTATGATCTGAGTAGGCTCATTATAGGGAATAACCTCACCCTGGGAACCGAGGCATGGCCATCCCTTCTTTGCGGTCAATGGTCTAGGAAAGTTTCTCCGTTGATAGCGAAATGTTTCGATCTGAGGCGAGTCAAAAGTCCTAAAACAAGGTTCTTCACTCTCTGAATGAAGATTCTTCAAGTGCATTGACATTAACAAAATCATCTACAAACTCACAAGTTATCTAATTTTCTTTCTCTTACTGTGATAAATTATTTTTCATTAAAAACCCAAAATGGGTACTCCATTTGTGAAATCTCAACTCTGACCAAGGATCTAAAAGTACAAATCAATGTAACTGTTCATAAAGTTGTAAGCCTTGTAAGAATCTCATTAAATTAAAGAGCACATACATGGTTAATTATAAGTTTTTTCTACCAGATCGCCACTCCTTTTGCCAATAAACTTTATGATTACGAGAAACTAAAAACCATCAACCCAATAGACACCTCCCATAGTTTCATATGAAACAACTAGGGCTGCAACTTGGGTGGGCTAACCCAGCCCAACCCGAGAATTTGAAATTTGGACTTTAAGTTTACAAATCGGGTTCATGTTCGGGTTGGGTTTTGTCAAAACCCAGACATATTCGGGGTTAGGCTCGGGTTCAACCCGAACCCAACCTAAAACCCAAAAATAAAAAAAATAATAATTTTTTTTTTCTTTTTTTTCCTCCGTTCTCTCTCCCCTCTCTCTCTCTTCTTTCTCTCCCTCTTTCTCTTTCTTTGTGTACCGTCCCCATACATTCAAGGTAGCAGTTGCAGAGAGAGACAGCGGTTGAAGCTTGCGAACGGCGAATGGCAAACTGGAACAGCGAGCGATGAAAACTAAAAGATCTGGGTTTTGATTTTTTGAACGATCTGAAATGGTTAAGAGTTGATAGACAGCGGTTGAAGCTTTGCCGACGGCGAACGGCGAACCCGATCTGGAACAGCGGGCGATGGAAATTGAAAGATCTGGTTTTTGATTTTTTGAACAATCTGAAATGATATGCCGATATAGGTTTTGAACTTTTGATTGTTGCAGATAGATGAAACTAAAATATATGAGCTTTGAAGTTTTTGTAGTTTGCAGTTGTTGCAGAGAAAGAGAGAGAAAGAGAGAGGGGGGGGGGGGAGGCAAGTTCAGAGAGAGGCGACAGAGGCGATTGGGGAAGGCTAAAATGATTTGCCCTAAATAAAATATAAAATATATATATATATATAATTTGTTTTTAATAATAATATAATCAAATATAATATATATGTATATATATATATAAATTTCCGAAAACAAAAAAAAAAATTTTAAAAAGTTTTCAACCCGTCAACCCGACCCAACCCGTCCAAAAATATTCGGGCTGGGTTATAATCATAACCCATGTTGAATATAATTCGGGTTGGCCCAACCCAACCCGATTCGGGTTGAGGTTGGGTTGGGACTGGGCTGGGTTGGGCCAACCCAACTTGCAGCCCTAGAAACAACAATCAATAATTTCATTCCCAATAGAAATTAAAAGCAGTTCCCTCTTCCAATTTCCACATACACATACGTAAAACATGAATACATATGTGTATATATACACAATATATATATATATATAGAGGGATAAGATTTTTATACCTTTGTAACTGGAGAAATCACAATCAGAGAAAACCCATTTGCGAAAAACGTCTATGGGCGAGGACTTTCGTGTGTGTTGCTTTCTATGCTTCTGATACATATGAGAGGAACAATGAGTGGGTTGAAAGTGGTTCGGTCTATATGGGATGTCAGTAGGGTGGGGATTTAGGGTTGAAGTTTCATAAAGGAGAGTTTTGGGTAATAAGAGAAAGGTTTTTTTTTTTTTTTTTTTTTTTTTTTTTTTTTTTTTTTTTTTTTTTTCAATATATGTATATTTAGAGTGTGGCTTTAATTAGTTGAATATTTTGACTATGTAGTTTGGCGGGAAATGAAAATTTTTTGGTGGAAATTTTATTACTTATTCGAGGGACAAAAAATATCCCCTGAAAGTGTAATTTTAGTACTTCATCAACAAAAATACACCATTAATACAAGCAAATGTACAAGCTCTTTAAAATGCCGGGAAATTTTTTTTCTACGAGGATTCTGTATATAACAATTACGAGGAGTCTTTTTATAAACGTTGTAAAAATTAGTTTTCACGAGGCAAAACAAATAAACCTCGTAAATATTATGTCTTAAAAACTCACTTTTCTTGTAGTGTTACCATGTTACCACTTCTTTAATTGGAAAAAGATTTTTCACAGTCCAATTTTCTTTTAGAAACGGCAAAATTTTTTCAATCATTATATATTCTTCTACCTGAAGAATATAAATGGTAAAGTAATTTTTTTTCCAAATTTAGGAGAAAATTCACATCTTGTGATTTTTGGGGACCAAAACATGGCCAATCAACTAAGTATTTGGTCAGAAGATATACAAATTCGTCTTCCTCATAAACC